TGATTTACCGATCTGTCTGTGCATGCGCGAGAGTCTAGTTAGTTTCTCTCTTTATGTATGCCCAACTTGATTCGGCTAATTTTTGCTGATAAACGTACTGTGCTTGGCGTGTTTGCCACCAACGAGACTCGATTGCAGCTGTATACCAACTTGCTATCAATTTATCAAACTTGTCTTGTCAGCTATACTACTGCACTCTCGCGTGTTGGTGCACCTCACTCGGCTCTAGCATTGTGTTTCGATTCGGAGTAATGATTTTTTCACTTTTACCGGAAAGTCGATCGTCGTGCTCGTCCTACTCGTGCGGGGATAGCTAAAGCTCGACTTTTGGCGAGCACGTTGTTACTCTAGAGCCGCCAGAGTGAGCGACAAATAAGATTAATTAGGAATGCCGCGTGTTTCGATAATTCGATCAATTAAGAGGCCGCAAACAAGCGATCGCGTGGGGTGCGCCACTGCTGCTCTCTCGAGCCAAATAAATAAATGATCTCGCCACGCGCTCTCGACTCGACTCGATTCCCCGATGGCGCGACGATCCAACGACCGAGACGGAGCCAACAGCTCTACTCGTGGATTTTTATTCTTCCTCCATCTGAGCTCGTGCTTCGCAATCCGCAGCGTAGCAGTGCACTAATAAGCTTAAGGGATCAGAGCTGTTGGCGAGCGCAGCGAACAACCTCGTCCCGAGGGATTGCCAATCCGCTGCCGGCTTGACAACAACAACAACAACAACGACGACGACGACTACAACCCACCGAGGCAAATTAACAGTCAAGAAACCCGAGACTTTTTCGCGCAAAGCCGACTAGCTGCTATATATAATACTAAACATTTTAATTGAGATTTTCGCGCCGCAGTCGATTGGCCGCGTCCAGCCGCGCACTCGAGTGGCTGTAGATGTGTAGTACATTGTGCTGCTCTCGGTACGCGCGACGCAGTTGCTGTAGTGGGCGTATATCAAACGGCTTTGGCTTTTTCAGCAGTTGGCTCTCCCGCGACGCTTTCGCCTATGTACGTAGAAAATATATCTATATTTAGAAGGTCTGCGCCGCACTGGAGACTGAGTGTAGAGTCGGCCCCGAATATATACTATATAGGTGCGTGTGTGTTTGCGCACGAGCACGCGTAGGTATACACGACGACTCGCAGGCTCGCGTGGCAGCGTTTATTGATTTCCCTCCCGCCTACGCGCGCCTCTCGACGTTCCCAAGCCCCCAGCAGCAGCAGCAGCCGCCCCAGCCGCCGCCAAGCTCGACGAGAGAGAGAGAGAGAGAGCTCGGAAAATTGCGTAGCAGCTCTACGATCGCAAGCAATAAATGCATTTTCGTTTGATGTAAAGCCTCGCTGATTAAAAATCCCTTTTTCGATCGGTCGACCGACGACGACCTTCGACAGTTTTTAATCAATGTATTTTTTTGTTTACCACAGCGGCGTGGCGGGGCCCGGCCTCGACGTACCTGTAATATACGCTACTATCTGCCAAGCGGTGACAACCGAGCGCGCTGCGCAAAATTTTTTTAATCAACCGGGTTAAAGTTCGTTAAAAATGCCAAGTCAAACGGCGGAATAAAATTAATTAGCGCCCATGGAGCTCTGCAGCGCGTATAAATATTACATCCACTCGTCTGACCCGAATCAACTGCACGATCCTTGACATTTGCGATTTTATCGCCATAATAGCAGCGCAAACTTTTTTCGCGCGGCTAACTGCAATAAATTGCATATGCGACTTTATGACCTTGAACTCAAAGTTCGAATCATTCATTGGGGATAACTCGTGACTGTTGATAACGCCTTTGATTCGATCAGTTCAGATGATATTTAGTCAATGTTTAGTCGAAAGTTTAGCCGAACTGATTTGGACCGTGTCGAAACGATAAGAGAATGATCAGAAATGAGAGAAGTGACGCAAGAATCGAATAATTCAGTTAGCTCGAGCGTAATACGAGGCTTCGGTCATAGCGTTGTCGAAGTTTATGGAGCCTCAAAGCTCCGAACGACTACATAAACAGCTGCAGTGTACTACCGCGTATACGAGTGGTATAACGCAGCAGCTAATTCGACCGATCGGGCAGATACACCGTGTGCATTGGGAGTCGAGCGTGTACACCAAAGCACAAAGCTTTGAGCCTAATCGATGCTCGGCACATGCTATGCCTCCTACTGCTAGGTGCGTATAATATGCAGAGAGAGAGAGAGAGAGAAGTTGCGCACGTTTTATCGCCGTCACGAACATAATTAATTTAATTTAGTTTAATACATCTGCGTGGAGTGTCGGTGTCGGGCACGATTGGCCGCGCTCGATTGTTTGCACGGAAACGGCGGCGGCGGCGGCAAGCCGTTAGCTCGACTTTGTGTACGTGTGCGTGCGCGCACCTGTACACAGATACAGCAGCAACTCTGTACGCGCGTAGTTCGCCATGCCAAATCGGAGTTTGCAATTTCCACACAAGTTTGTTGGAGATTTGCATCCATGGACTCGGTGGAACGTTGCGTTATACCTATAAGGTAAACAGCACCTAGCACGGCCCTTTTCGTGCGCGCCTTTCGCCTTTATAGTCGGCGCTCGCAGTGTATACATACTGCATTGAATTACGAGCTGCTGCTGCAGCTAATTAACAAACTTAAGCCTTATCAAACGCTCGTTGCGGATTAATACTTTATACTTGCTAGGTCCAAATGTAATTGCTGTTGGCCGACTTTTGTAACTCGAGCGTAATAATAGTTAGTCGAGTCTGCGTAAGCCGTCTGTCTACTGGCGGCCAGCTCTCCAACTGCCTCTATCTCCGATTTTAAAGATAACTGTGTTGTGCTTTATATGGTCTAACGTCACATCCTTTTCTAAAAAAGAAAGTTAGGCGCCTAAAATGCCAACGGTATTGCGATGACTCATTCATCAAACGACTTTTTCTATCTATTTGCCTTCGAACGTATGTGTTTTTGACTCTCTAAATATAGACATCCTCGTCTATATATAAAGCAGTACACGTTAGGACACCGTACAGAGAACATCGAGCAAGCTCCCATCGATTACAGTTAGTGATTCACGTGAATAGAGAATTTAACAAAAATAAAGTACCGTAAAATTACAAACGATTGTGTGTGCGTTCTGTGCTACGAGTGTCTACAAAAATGTGCATCCCCTTCGATCGAAATTGCAATGACCGAGACATGGATACGGATGTCTCGAAAGAGCTATGTGCTTTTCTTGACAAACGTTATGCCTTGATCGAGGATCGCGAGGCTCAACTTCCAAAACTCCAGGACGTTTTTACGAAGGAATATGAAGTCGAGTGTGTCCTCTCGCTCGTTATAAAATACTGGAGTAAAGATTATAAAAATGCCGAAAAAATGAGTCGAATCGTCAAGTTCGTAACTAGCAGCGGCTACAAGAGCAACCAACCGTTGAATTGCACCACCCCGCTGCACCTCGCGTCCGAACACTTGAATATTGCACACCGACAAATCGTCCGTGAGCTTTTCAAAATATACAACAGTAACGTGAATTGTCGCGACGTCGATGGCTACACGCACTTGCATGTGGCCTGCGAGTACGGCTTGCAAGACGAGGTCGAAAAGTTTCTCGAGTCGGGTCAGAGTGTCAACTGTGTCGCGACAGAAACAGGCGACGCGCCACTACACTTGGCCGCGAGGAACGAACACAAGAAATTGACGGAGTTTCTTCTGCGAAAAGGAGCCCAGGTGAATCTGGCAAACAAGGCCGGATTCACACCTCTGCACGTTATCTGTATGAGATACAAAGACGACGGCATGATGAAGCTATTCTTCGAGGTCTGCAACGACATCGAGCAGACGGTGCAGGTGGATGCTCGGGACTCGTCTGGTCGCACGGCGCTGCAAATAGCCGTGGTTAATCTCAAGCCGAGGGAGGTCGATATACTCGTGCAAAACGGCGCAGATCTGGCCGGCTTCGCTTTACCCAGTGCGGATCAGTTTGTCGAGGCATTGGAACCGGTAGAAGATCCAGAGGTCGAAGATTCGATTTATCATAAATTGAAGCTAACGTGCTACATACTGTTCGTCGTCGATTACCTCGAGAAAGGAGGATACGAAATGACGCGAGACGACGCCCAGACGATCATGCAATTGTTCATCGAGCTCGGCTTGAACGAGGAAAATTCGGCGGACAAAAGTTGGTACGACGACGAGGACTTTGTGGCGGACGCCAAAGAGATCAAAGTATTCGATAACAGAGTTGTGAGTGATTCCAGCGACGCTAGTGATTCTAGCGAGGAGGAGGAAGAGCAAGAGCCATTGGAAAGTTCGAGTCTGACGCTCTATGAGCTAACTCGGCTGGATGCCGAAGAGGCGGCGAAACGCGTCACGTTGCGCGACTACTTCCTTTTCGCGCACTTTGACGAATTGTGGGAGCTGCCCGAGAGCAATCAAAAGGCTTGCGCCGCGCATCTCTGCGAGAAAGTATCGAGAGGATTTTTCCGGCAATGGGCATTGGCTCCTTTCATGGAGCTCATACACAACAGACTTACATCGATCGAGTGCTGCGACATGATCCTCCGAGGACTCGCCAACAAAGATTTATATCACATTGTCGTGGCGGCGTCAATGAAATGAATTTCAAAAATGTGTCTTGATTTTTTCCACGATGAAAACGCGAGAGCTTCGAAGGCGATAAGCGATAGCGATAGCGGTAGAGTAAGCGATGATTGAAATGTCGGGTGTTTTTTTTAATTTTGTACAGTTATTATATCAATCGAATAAAGAAAATTTTCAAAAATGTGTCTTGATTTTTTTCATTCGAAATCAAAGTTAACCAAACGCATATGAAAAATATAATAATTATACTAGAGCGCAATTGAGAAGGATCAAAAGAAAAGTCGGGTAGCCGATAAAACAAGGTGAGTAGTCAAAACCGAGCCGAATGTTTACGCAGGTGGCGAATGTCAGGTAAAAATCAGCTGCTCGCCCACACCCATTGATCAGGTAAATAATACGGAAAGAAGAGAGAGAGAGAGACTCACCTGTACTCGGACCTCCGGCAGATTGACCTTCATGGCGAGCTCCTCCCGCGAGTAGACGTCGGGATAGTGTGACTTTTCGAAGGCTCGCTCGAGCTCGTGCAGCTGGTACGTGGTGAAGGTCGTCCTGTTGCGCCGGTGCTTCTTCTTGCCGGAGTTGCAGTCGTCCTGCATGCCGTGGCAGAGCTCGTCGTCGCTCCCCCCGCCCGTCGAGTTGTTGCTGCTCTCGCCTGTAACGACAACGGATCGACATCATTACGGGGGCAAAGATCGAACTGCAGTGATATACGGGTAGGTGTATCGCGAGAAAGCAAAGTCGTTCGCTAATGTAGTTGCAGGCTTCGATCGGAAGCCCGTTGGGTGTGTGTATATTACGTCGAGCCCTCATTAGCTAGATAATTAAGCCTCTCTCGGTAGAGACTAGCTCACTCGGGGCTGAATTAGGATCGATTTGCGGCGAGCTAATCGCTCTTTGGCTCCGTGTCAATTTCGCCTTGCATCTCGAGATAACGTACAGCTTCGCATGTAATGGGATGAATTGATTGACGCTTACCGAGTATATGCGCCGTGCTAATAGTCCGCAACGACAATCGATAATACACACATCCTTGCTTAAACGTGCATAATATTGTATTATATTATAGGTAGGGGTATTTGAGCATCGGGGCGCGCTGCGATTTCTGTATACTGCGGGACTCTCGAAAAGGATCGACTTTGTCGAGAGCGAGCATACGAGGGCCATTAAAGAGCCCCGAGGCTCGATAATAAAACCGAAGGTAAATAAAAAAAAAGCCGCTGCTGCTTATACACGGGCAGAGGATTAGACGTTGTTTAGTTTTGTTTGTAGCTCGTGTAAGACGAGACGCGCTTTGGCGCAGTAGTGGTAGTAGTAGTAGTGGTAGTAGTACTCTGCGAGAGCCAATTGAGTGCAGCACATGCGATACCGACTGCTGCTGCTATATACGTACACAACGTAACGTTTTGATGGGCTCGCGGACGAATAACAGAATAATGAGAGAGAGAGATATATAATACCGTTATGTAGTCCACGATGCTTTATATGCACGTAGAGCTGGATCGGGTTTCTTTTCTCTTTCTTGCCGACGCAACGCTGCGGCGAGTGAGCGCGATATCTACACACGATGATGTCTACCGTATTAAGCAAAACTTGTAACATTACTACTTTAATACATTTACTACTTATGCTATGTAGCAGTAGTAGGCCTCTCTATACCACTGCAAGGATTAGTCAAACATTCGGCAATTAGGCGTACACACAGCAAGAAAACGATGCATAAATAGCACGAGCGCATGTTTATGCGCTGTACAATGCACGTGTGCGAGAGCTATTGTGATATTACAAACGGATGAGCAACACACGAGTCTTGTCTTGTGTACCTACATTGAGAACTCGTTGCGTGCGCGAGGACGACAAAAGTTCGCCTCGGCGACTCGACGATCTTACCTTCACGTGACAGCTTATTTATTCAATTTTACAAAAAGGTAATACGTACAAATACGCAGACGTGTAAGGTCGCGGCGTATACTATTGCTACTCGAGCCGGCTCCGTTATGTACCTTATATTAGGAACCCTCCCCCCGCGATCGTCTTTATTATTTTGATAGATAATCCAAGACACCGAGTAACTCGACGAGATCGAGTTATATCATGTACGAGTTTGTATCCAATCCTGGTAGAAATGCTCAACATTAATAATGGCCTCCTGACCAAAACGACAATTTGAAATGTTTTAAAAAATGTGGCCATTGATTCGCCTGTTTTTGGAAATTTTCTTATTTGGCGCATTTTATAGAGCTGTTTCAAAAAATCTTGATTAGATTTCAACCACGGCGAATACAATGATTCTACTTCAATTGTCCGCCACTAGATGGCGAACACCCTCAACTGGGAATCTACAAGTGGTAAAGGACAAATAATTGTCTAACAGCAAATACAATAGTATAAGTAATAAAATTACTTATTTTCAGAGTCTATGCCGAGAATTTTCAAATTTTTCATAACGTGACATAATTATTTGGGCTCTTACTCGATGCGATGAATCTCGCGCGTATAATAAGCATCGAATCGAGCGGCAGATCGGACCCCGAGTTCGACGACACTCGATCCCAGGCCAAAAAAAGCGCACCAAGGTGAAACTTTAATATGGATAATATGGTAGTTGCAGGCTGCTGCCGCTGCTATATGTATAGTACATCGCCGGCCGATTAATGTAAAAGTTGGTTTAAAAAAAGTATATTATATTAAAACGTGTAATTTGGCGACGCGTGAGAGATATTCCATTGGCTTGATATGACGTTGAAAAGTTCGTTAATAAAAGCTTTAGCGCTGGCTATATAGCACGCACGCGCGCGCGACGTAAAGAACGGACGTTTAATTAAATTTTGCTACACACGTATGAGTGTGTGTGTGTGTGTGTGTGTGTGTGTGTGTGTGTGTGTGTGTATATGGATGTGTGCATACCACATCGTTGTGATATTGAAAGTTAATTAACATCGCGCAGTTTGACGCAGCTCGAGTGGCTTTTTCTCTCTCTCTTTTTTTATTCCTTCATTTTATAAAATTATTAATTGCCCCGCTCACGAGTACCCAATATTACTCGCGCGCGTGGCCGATCGCGGCGATTTTTCCTCGGCAACGAGGAGCGCAGCCAACGACGCCCCGTCAACGCACGATCGACTTTTCACTCGTCTTCTTTGCTCGTTTTAGCTGGGGCTTTTTTGCTTGGACTTGGCGAGGCATCGAGCTGAACAGCAGGAAGAAAGGAAGAGAGGAAGAAAGGAAGATGAATCGTCGGGAGGATTGAAATTGGTGCGAGCGACGAGATTGATTTGGTCGGACTAATGGTAATACACCGCTGCATTAGACCCTATCGATAGCTGACTGCTGCACGAGCTGGCCGAGTCAGGTGAGTTTAGTGGCCCCTTGGCTGTATCCTATAGTTTGCTCTATATATGTGTGTGTGTGTGTGTGCGTGTGCAGTGCATGTGTTTGCACAGCGACCAGCGGCAGCGGTACGGGGCTCGAGTTATTATCGTCGTGAGTAACGAGCTTATGCTCGCACTGCCATTAATTAGTTTGCACCCCCCTGCGCGCCGTACATACTCGCGCCTCTGCGCGCGCAACCCACTGTACACTACAACACAGACCCACACGCACACACACCTGTGCACGGATTCAGCCGATTAATTCTCACTTTGTAGGTAGGTACTGCTTATGCAGCCACACGACTTTGCCCAGTCCGCGGCGCAGTTGTTGTTTTTTTCGTCGTCGTACCCAACGAGCTCTCGAGCTGCCACGCCAAGTATTATTGAGTTAGTTCGCGCTGGTCGACGTTACGTCGCGTGTTGGAAAATTTATGAGGAGGAAAATTTTAGTGGCTAAGCATGGCTAGCTAGGCTAGCTCGCGTGCGCCAAATTGAATTTTTATGTTTTTTTTTCCGGCGACTCGACGTGTCGCGTGGCAGCTACTTGCTCGCTTGACTCACTGAATTTTTATAATTCAATCTACGCAGCTCGTGGTTTTACGCGCCAGCTCGAGTGTAGCTACGTTATAACATAATACGTGGCCAATCCTACATCGATAATTCGATATATAATAGCAGCGACCCATACCATTGCTCGACGCAGCGAAGCGTCATTAAACGAAATTCATGTGCTCCGTCCACGATCGACACACGTATATAGTCGGCAGATCTCCATCGGCCGATCGGCCTGCAATCGACTGACTCTGCACAAATCGAAAGCCAGCCTAATGCATCTATTATTGTAAGCGACGATAATTGACTGTACGACTGTCGATACGCACTTGCCGCCGCGGTGCAGGGGATGCACTTTGCCAACTGAAACGTCCCGATCTCCTGGCCATTCTCAGCGATTATCGATCTTAGTCCTTTTGTCGGCTCTCGCATAAGTAGCTCTGCGCTTGCCATCTCATTCAATTACAATGAGGCTCGAGGTCTGAATGAGGAATTCGATGGACGTATGCATCTTGCATCATCATCGGCCACCCTCTCTACGTATATCGCGCTACTCGTTCTAAAACTAGCCGCCAACGAAAGAAATAGCCGCTCCTTTGTCCACCCTGACACGCGCCCACTGCACTCACTATATGAGTCTTGTCACCTATGATATAGAGTACATATTCGATGCATACGAATGATAAATACATTCTTTCCTTGAATCACACGAGACGCCAAGCTAAGATTTTTCTAAATCAATAAGCCAGATTATAGGAAAAACACCAGTCTCTAAAAAAGAGCCATCACAGATAGTTGAAAAAATTTGAATAAAATTTCTAATAAAATTTGGGGACACGTTCGATATGAAAAGCACGGAGAATATTTCTGGGCCATTAGATTTCGCGGAGAATCGGCCATATACATACGCGAGGACGTAGAAGCTACTTAGGAGATTGACACGACGAGATAGGATAATGGAGTCCTCTCTCGACTGCGAGGCTGAAATTATACAGGCCCGTACGTATAGCAGTTGTTGGCAGCGATCCGTGAGCGCGCAGAGTGCTTAATAGCCCCGGAACATAACTCCTTGTGTGCAGCTCGTGTAGAAAAAGAAGACGAGGAGAAAATGCGAGAGACACAGAGAACGAGACGTGCCGTGTCGCGTGTGCATTTTAGCAAATCGTCGCCCTAAGACTTTTACCAACTGCTGTTCTATTTAATCGACGACTTTTTAATTTTCCAATTGTTTTGCCTAAACACCTACGTTGTCTTTTTAATTTATGAAATAGAAAAGCATTAATTAAAAGATGTAAAAATTGTAATTTAATTTTCATATGAAATGTCTATTTTATTAAGCACGATGAACCGAGGGGCAAGAGAGAAATACATAAATACGTTTGATGAATTTGCTCGCGAACGCACCATCGACAGATGTAAAGTTGTAATGCTCGTCGATCGAATCGCAGGTACAACTGCTGCAGGTGGCTACAAAGTTCGAGGCGGGTGGGGTCGCACGCTTATCGACTGGCAGCTTTGCCGGGTATGCATTTATGCATACGAGTCACGAAAATCGAGCGTAACCATAGCGCTGCTTTATGGCTCATTAATGCTCGAATAACCCACAAAGGATAGAAAACAAAACGAGTTTCGGGCTCTCTCTCTCTCTCTCTCTCTCTTTCGGGTTGGCTGCAGGTTTGCACCTACTCACTACCTCGCGGTCCCTTGTATAGCATATTCCAAGCTGCCGATG